ATGAAATTTTGTAATTAAGAATTATATACTCTAAAATTTGCTTGAGAATTTTTACTGCAGATAGTAAAGGAATTAACACTCCAGAAGCAAATCAGAATTGAACATAAGAAATTTGCTAGACTCTGAAGCGCCAGATGCAACCATTAGAAGATTCTGATTGCTGCCAATAGAAGATCCTGAGCGTAGCCTCCAGAAGATTCTGAAGCAGAAGCTCCAGAAGGATCTGAAGCAGAAGCTCCAGAAGAATCTGAAGCAAGTCAGAAGCATCTGAACCAAAGAAGAATTCTGTATGAAGAATTTTCAAAGCATAGTTACTACAGAAGATTCTGAAAGTACTAAAGCTGCCAGTACTGAGGATCTGACTCAAATATGCTCTGATCTTAAACACGCTAAAAGCACACCTGCTGCAGAAGACTCTGATTCAGCAAAACTCTGATCAACATCAAAAGGCTCTGATCAAATTAGACTCTGATGAAATTTGCTAAAAATTGAAGAAGAATTATTCAAAGATTATATCCGTTGGAATGATTCAAACGACTCTTTCGTTATTTATGCTAGACACAAGAACACAGACAAAAAGGATTTTTCTGTGCTTTCTTCTTCTAGGAAAGGTCACTTGATGTGAAGACAAAAAGGCTCAGACCTTTTAGACACTCTTCTCAACGTGAAGCTCTCCTTGGATCAGCTGCCTATAAAAGCAAGTCTTCACCCAACTTCTTCAGTTGACGTTTTATCCAAAAGAAATCAATATTCAAAGCTCTCATTCTATTCACATTATTTCAAGAATTTATTTATTTGTTCTTAATATTTAAGTGAAAAATCACAGTTGTGATAAAGCTTTCTAGAAGCAATTTAAACACTTGTATTTGTATTACATTTGATTATAAACCTTAAGAAGATCTAGTTAGGATCAGTAGTTCTTGAGAAGACTTTGAACAGTTGTTCTTAGTGCTTACTATTGTAATCAGTTGATTAAATAGTGGATTAAGTCCTTGTTTGAGAAAGGCAAATCACTCTAGGAAGGGTGGACTTGAATAGTTGAGTTCAACGAACCAGGATAAAAATACTTGAGTTTTTATTTTTAAGTTTTAATCTTCATACTTATTCAACCCCCCCCCCCCTTTCTAAGTATTTTCTCACCTTCACCTTCTATCACGACTTCCGATTTCCAAGGCCATCGTGGACCATAAAAAGTAACCACATTAAACACAGTAAAAGAAAAAAATATTAGTTAGTAATGATTCAAAACAAAATCAAAACGTCAGTGTTTTTATTTTTAAGGGGAAAACTAAAAAGTCTCACTCCATAACTATATAACTTCTTTCTTCCGCTTCTCTACATTTCTTTCTCTTATGAACCCTAGGAAATCTTATTTTCTGCAACCGTCTGTCGCGATGAGAATCAGATATCAAGTTGTTAATTAACTTGAATCACAAATCATAGTTCACCATCGATCTTTAATTATCCAAGGGAAGGGAAAAAGAGCGAATAATCCAAGTATCTGTAGTACTTTACATTAACCTCTTGTTTTATTGTGTTATTTGTTACTTGCTAAGGGTGAAAATAGGGGTTTATTTTTAAGTATGCTCGTCAAGACATTGCATCCCGTGCCTAGGTATCCTGATGGGAATGTCATATCTACAAAAAAAAAGAAATATATATATATATTATTCATTACAAGAAAATTTGTGTACAAAAACAAAAGTCAAACTGATCTCTATCAAACCAAATTAGTTAAAAGTTAGTTTTGGATTAACTAGAATATAAATTGTAGCATGGATTGAGTGACTAATTAACTAAGCAAAAGTTTCCTAACAAAGTCAAAACTAAATCGTAGAAAAATATCAGTCATAAACTTGCATTTCCTAACTAAAGAACTACAATATCACCATAAAAATATCATAACAAATCTCAAGCCAAACGTTTTATACATTCCTATCAAATCTAATTAGGCGTTCAAATTTGTTATAATTATTTCTAAAACTAATGAGATGAGATTAAAATTATTCATAAAATTTATTTTAAATAATTTCCTCAATTAATATTTCTAATTAAGATACTCTTTAAAAATTAATATGATAAAACAAGACAAACAATAAATAGCTAACTGTCTTAAAAAATAGTCTACAATACTCTTAAACTTCATTTGTACAAATGCGTAGGTCAAATGTGAGGATTTATTATAAGTACACTGAAAATATTATTACAATAAATAGAGGATTATTTCAAAATTCATACAAATCATTGCAAATAAAACAAATTAAAAAGGAACTTTACTCTGTGATTTTTTGCACATAAATTGTCAAACCTTTTGAATGATGAATTCTATTGAATATGCTAGGAATTTCTTATGTAGATTTGAATACACCGAATTGAAATGATACACTTTCTTAAATAAAACACTTTTGACAAAATATAATTTTTTTATAATGTTTGGCATGAACGAAGTGAAATGGTAGCGGAGTCTGCAATAGCATGAAACTTTACTTTATGATTTTTTTAAATAATTTTTAATAATTTTCTTAAGATTGAGTTATTATCACTTTTTTAAACCTTAAGATTGAGCTATCCCTAAGTGATCCACCTTGTATAATCTATTGGATAACTTAGTTATTAGTAGCAGTTTATATCTCAAACAATATTCTACGAATTTCAACTTCAATTTTCTGAAGGTTCTTCCAAGCTGCAAATATGATTCATTTCATTGCATGCTTAATAGAATTTAAACTTTATAACCACGATAATAAATATCTGCATGAATAAGAAAGTAGTACATTATAAGTAATAATGTGAGGTTCAGTAGCTGAGTTCCTGACATCTTCACCCTGTTCCGAAATTTCTGAAAATAGTCTCAGCAAAATTTGGAAAGTCTTTTCTATAATGCAAATAAATCATACACGTCTTCATTTTTTCATATCTAGAATCGTTAGAATACTTTCAAAACATGTTTAAAGTAAGAGTAATTAATCACAACACCAAAATCAGTTTTGAAAGTGCATGTCAATTCTACTACATGTTATTATAGGTTAATTTTGATGGAACCACAAATTTCCAAAGTTTTTTTATATGCATATGAGACACTTTCAGCTGTACATAAAATAGATTAATAATAACAATTATTATTAGTAAAATAAAAAAATTAATAAAACTATTTTTGTATTAATATTTTTATTAATGATTTAGTTTTATATTTAACTTCTTATTATTCTTTAACTTTTATATAGTTTATTTGATACAATTGTTGTCATAACAAGCCCACATACGGCTAATATTTTTTGTTCCCGTTGAAAAAAAAGTAGAAATCCTACCCCTATTAAAATAGGAATTGGAAGAGGGATGAAAGGTATGATCCATGAAGATGTCAATGAAAAAAAAAAAGAAAAAAAGTGTCATAAATTCTGTTATTAATTATATTAAATAAAATTAAAGTTTGATAATTTTTAAGAAATATGTTCAATTAACTAACAAATATGTTTAAATATAGGTTGAAAACTTCATTTCCGTACAATATAAATAATAAAATTTGAAGTATAAACACAATATACTCTCATATACTTTAATAATACATATAAAAATACTAAAACAACTCTTATAATAGTGGTTAGTATTTTCTTAAAAGTTCTAACAATTAGAATTATCTATACTAATATCGAAAAACTATTAAAAGTTATTATATGATTTAACTTTTAGAATATCATATAATAACACACTTTAACTTTATTAAATATGTTAAAACACAACAAAATAAATAATTTTAAATATATTAAAAGAATTTTTTTACAAACTCAACCCCTCTACAATTTTTCATAGTTTTTAATATTGTATTATTCAAAATATAGAAATTAACTTTAAACATAGTCATACTATCGTACTTTAATATATTTTAATCAATTAATTAAAATATTGTTTTTTTATTTTATAAGAATAATTTAAATATATATTTTATTTAAACGCATGCAACACACGGACTTCCTCCACAGAAAGATAGAAGGAAAAACAAAATAGAAAAGAATGGATGAGAAAAAAATTGAGATACTAGAAATATTATTATTGATAATGTGGTAGATTATAAGTGGTAGATGTTAATTGTAATTAATATTTTAAAAAAATGCAAAAGTGAAATATATATATATATATATATATATATATATATATATATATATATATATATATATATATATATATATATATATATATATATATATATATATATATATATATATATATATATATATATATATATATATATATATATATATATATATATATATATATATATATATATATATATATATATATATATATATATATAATAGGAAATATGATTCTAAATAAATTTAAATTTCTAACCTATATAATACTCGTGATCATATGATATCCACATTTTCAAAGATCATCTTTAGTATATGAAGAAGAAGGAACATTAAATTCACATGAAAAATATAAAATCAAATTTGTTGTAAGTAATAATCTTGACGTATGAAGAATGAATTATATTTTAATAAAGCATCAATATATGAATTATTATTTTTTAAATATATTTTTCAAAAATTAAAAAAATTTTAAATATCTCTCTCAGATCACGAGTTTTGATTCACTTGCATGATTAAATTCGAAAAAATCCTAAAGACGTTTTGTTTGAAATGCTAGATAAAATGTATTTGTTCTTAAAGGTTCTATGTTTGAATTTAGAGTAATTGGATAAGAATTTAAAAAATTAAATTGCCAAATTATTTGGAAGGATAAAGTAATTGAAGAAAGACAATTGAGTAAAATGCTTAAATTAAAAATGGGACACAAGTTCATACATTTCTCACAAATTCTTTATCTCTGTAACTCAGATGTGTGAATTCTGAAGAAAACATAATAAAAATGTGAACCCTTTATTACAAAGGTGAAATTTACTTATATACTAGTTACATCAATAATTGTAGATAAAGTTATCTCTCTAGCATTCGAAACATATCCTGCTACGTGGACTTTAGTCTTATGATGTATTTTCAAGTGCCTTTGGTCGTCAAACTGTTACTACTGTCGAAACCGTGGTACAAAGGTTTATCCTTGTCACTGCATAAAGTATCATACGCATGTGCCCTCTTAAACGAATCTTGTCCAATATGACACATCATGTCTTCCAGATGATCATCCATTTCTACACTAGCATTATTTCTTTGGGACACATTTGGCTTTGCTACTACTTCACCGTGCCATATACATTGTGTATAACTTTGACAAATCCCTTCACAAATTAGATGATCCCTAATTTCTTTCTTATAAAGTTTTGGTTCTTCATTTGCACAACGAACACATGGACAGAGAAAAAGCACATGTTCGTACTCAGTACATAATCGATTAGCACTCATCCAACCATGATCCATACCTATGTTCCAAAATTAACACATACAGAGTTAAACCATTGTAACGCCTACAATAGTCCCTCTTTTGGACACATTAGAGAGAACAAAAGTCTCTACATGCAAACACGTGGCATTAAATTAAATCATAAAAATTATTCCTAACAAAATGGTATTATCATAAAAATTATATTACTAAACTTTAATCCAAATATAAGCAAATTAACATCAAAATTATTTGACATTTTTATCTTCAATTTTAACGCAAATAGAACCAAATTGAAATCAAAATATTTCAATCATTTTTACAAAAAGCTATTATTATAAACAGTAAAATTATGTACTGTTAAAGATACCTTATAGATCGTTGTTATCACCGGCAGAGTACTAGAAAGTATAAAAAGCTCAAGGTTGTCTCTCCAAGTCAACAAGCACAAGGTTGTTTCTCCTAAGACTTTAAGAAACCAAAAAGCCAAAAATTCCAAAAAGATATCTTCGACTAGCACCAATTAACCGACCACTTTTCCATAATATGGAAGAATTAAACCGCCAATATATGACATTAATTCATTGAAACTATATGAAACAAACTGAATTTTCAACACACTAAATTTTATATTCCAGAATTCTTACAAAAAGTTATTACTAAAAACAGTAAAATAATGTACTATTAAAGATACCTTAAAGAAACCACGCGAACGAAAATGGCGGAGAGAGAACCATGCGAACAAAAATGGCAGAGGGAGGTCTGACGCGAACGAAAATGGTGGAGGGAGAACGGACGCGAACGAAAATGGCGGAGGGACGGTGGAACGAAAATGGCGGAGGGATAGTGGAAGAAGATTATAGATACGAAAAATGGAGACGGAGGCGGTTTAAGGGTTTAAGGAAGAAGAAGAAAATTGGTACGTTTGAGGGAATAAAGCGAAGAAGAAGAATGTTGGGTTTTGGGATTTTGAGAATTTAAACATTACGGGTAGGGTTTGGGCTTTTAAGGAATATTTTACATCGGTTGGCATATGGGCCGATGAAAAATCCTTTAACATAAAACATTTTACACATCTTCCTGTTAATGGACCGATATGAAATCCATTAAAGGTCTAGCTCATATTACGTCGGTTTTAATTAAAGGACCGATGTAAAATCCCTCAAACCATTTTTTACATCGGTTGGGATAAATGGCCCGATGTAAAATGTTTAATTAATATATTTTATTTATTTATTTATTGAGATACTTTTTACATCGGTTGGGGTAAAAGGACCGATGTAAAATCCTTTATAACAAAATATCTTATTATTTACGAAACTACCACAACGTTATTTTTTACATCGGTTGGTGTAAAAGACCCGATGTAAAATGTTTAACCCATTTTATGTTTTTTTTATTGAGAACTTTTTACGTAGGTTGGGTTAAATGGCCTGATGTAAAATCCTTTATAACAAAATTTCTTATTATCGACATTGTCACCGCGTTATTTTTCACATCAGTGGAAATATATGTCTGGCGTAAAATCATTAAATCAAATATTTTTCATATCATATTGTTAATAAATCTGATGTAAAATCTTTTGACAAATATTTTTCACATCATATATCTTAAAATCCGATGTAAATCATTTAACCAAATGTCTTATTTTTAGTAGTGTCGTCTTCAAGTTACCTAATCATATCTGTAAAAAAAACTCCATCTGTCGCATTTGTGAAAAGATTCACTTTGTGCCGAAAGCATGTCTTAGTCATCTACACTTAGTATTTACATCCACATCATATCTCACATTCTTATAAATAATTTAAGTTGAAAATTTTAGGCAAGCAGTTTCCCTTTAAACATTCCTTTTTTCGATCATATTTACAACATGGAAGAAAAAGTGGTGTTTTTTCTGTATACTCACAATGATATTCAAACCATTATGCATACGCCATTGTCATCATGACTCCTATTACCTAACCGACATATCAATAACATTCATGTGCCTTCTATCACGACTTCCGATTTCCAAGGCCATCGTGGACCATAAAAAGTAACCACATGAAACAAAGTAAAAGAAAAAAATATTAGTTAGTAATGATTCAAAACAAAATCAAAACGTCAGTGTTTTTATTTTTAAGGGGAAAACTAAAAAGTCTCACTCCATAACTATATAACTTCTTTCTTCCGCTTCTCTACATTTATTTCTCTTATGAACCCTAGGAAATCTTATTTTCTGCAACCGTCTGTCGCGGTGAGAATCGGATATCAACCTATTAATTAACTTGAATCACAAATCATAGTTCACCATCGATCTTTAATTTATCCAAGGGAAGGGGAGAAGAGCGAATAATCCAAGTATCTGTAGTACTCTACATGAACCTCTTGTTTTATTGTGTTATTTGTTATTTGCTAAGGGTGAACCTAAGGGTTTATTTTTAAGTATGCTCGCCAAGACATTGCATCTCGTGCCTACGTATCCTGATGGAAATGTCATATCTACAAAAAAAAAAGAAATATATATATTATTCATTACAAGAAAATTTGTGTACAAAAACAAAAGTCAAACTGATCTCTATCAAACCAAATTAGTTAAAAGTTAGTTTTGGATTAACTAGAATATAAACCATAGCATGGATTGAGTGACTAATTAACTAAGCAAAAGTTTCTTAACAAAGCCAAAACTAAATCGTAGCAAAATATCAGTCATAAACTTGCATTTCCTAACTAAAGAACTACAATATCACCATAAAAATATCATAGCAAATCTCAAGCCAAACGTTTTATACATTCCTATCAAATCTAATTAGGCTTTCAAATTTGTTATAATTATTTCTAAAACTAATGAGATGAGATTAAAATTATTCATAAAATTTATTTTAAATAATTTCCTCAATTCATATTTCTAATTAAGATAGTGTTAAAAATTAATATTATAATGAAACAAGACAAACAATAAATAGCTAACTGTCTTAAAAAATAGTTTACAATACTCTTAAACTTTATTTGTACAAATGCTAGGTAAAATGTGAGGAGTTATTACAAGTACACTGAAAATATTATTACAATAAATAGAGGATTATTTCTAAATTCATACAAATCATTGCAAATAAAACAAATTAAAAAGGAGTTTTACTCTATGATTTTTTGCACATAAATTGTCAAACCTTTTGAATGATGAATTCTATTGAATATGCTAGGAATTTCTTATGTGGATTTGAATAAACCGAATTGAAATGATACACTTTCTTAAATAAAAAACTTTTGACAAAGTATAATTTTTTTATAATGATTGGCATGAACAAAGTGAAATGGTAGCGGAGTCTGCAGTAGCATGAAACTTTACTTTATGATTTATTTTAATAATTTTCATAAGATTGAGTTATTATCACTTTCTTAAGCCTTAAGATTGAGCTATCCCTAAGTGATCCACCTTGTATAATCTATTGGATAACTTAGTTATTAGTAGCAGTTTATATCTCAAACAATATTCTACGAATTTCAACTTCAATTTTCTGAAGGTTCTTCCAACTGCAAATATGATTCATTTCATTGCATGCTTAATAGAATATAAACTTTTTAACCACGATAATAAATATCTGCATGAATAAGAAAGTAGTACTTTATAAGTAATAATGTGAGGTTCAGTAGTAGAGTTCCTGACATCATATCCTTTTATTGCAAATGTATGTGGCTCATAAAATGTAATGTAATCTGGTGCTTCACCCTATTCCCAAATTTCTGAAAACAGTCTCAGTAAAAGTTGCAAAGTATTTTCTATAATGCAAATAAATCAAACAAGTCTTCATTTTTTCATATCCAGAATCATTAGAATACTTTCAAAACATGTTTAAAGTAAGAGTAACTAATCACAAGGACAATCTAATACCAAAATAAGTTTTGAAAGTGCATGCCAATTCTACTGCATATTATTATAAGTTAATTTTGATGGAACCACAGATTTCCAAAGTTTTTTTATATGCATATGAGACACTTTCAGCTGTACATAAAATAGATTAATAATAACAATTTTTATTAGTAAAATAAAAAAATCAATAAAACTGTTTTTGTATTAATTTTTTTATTAATGATTTAGTTTTATATTTAATTTCTTATTATTCTTTAAATTTTTTATAGTTTATTTCATACAATTGTTGTCATAACAGGCCCACGTAAGGAGAATATTTTTTGTTGCCGTTGAAAAAAAAGTAGAAGTTCTACCCTTATTAAAATAGGAATTGGAAGAGGCATGAAAGGTATGATCCATGAAGATGTCAACAAAAAAAAGAAAAATAAGTGTCATAAATTGTGTTATTAATTATATTAAATAAAATTAAAGTTTGATGATTTTTAAGGAGTATGTTCAAATAACTAACAAATATGTTTAAATATAGGTTGAAAACTTCATTTCCGTACAATATAAATAGTAATATTTGAAGTATAAACACAACATACTCTCATATACTTGAATAATACATATAAAAAATACTAAAACAACTCTTATAATAGTGGTTAGTATTTCCTTAAAATTTCTAACAAATAGAATTATCTATACTAATATGGAAAAACTATTAAAAGTTATTATATGATTTAACTTTTAGAAGATCATATAATAACACACTTTAACTTTATTAAATATGTTAAAACACAACAAAGTAAATAATTTTAAATATATTAAAAGATTTTTTTTATAAACGCAACCCCTATACAATTTTTCATAGTTTTTAATATTGTATGTTTCAAAATATAGCAGTTAACTTTAAACATAGTCATTTAATCGTACTTTAATATATTTTAATAAATTAATTAAAATATTATTATTTTTTTATTTTATAAGAATAATTTAAATATATATTGTATTTAAACGCGTTCGACACATGGACTTCCTCCATAGAAAGATAGAAAGAAAAACAAAATAGAAAAGAATGGTTGAGAAAAAAATTGAGATACTAGAAATATTATTATTGATATTGTGGTAGATGTTAATTGTAATTAATATTTAGAAAAATATGCAAAAGTGATATATATATATATATATATATATATATATATATATATATATATATATATATATATATATATATATATATATATATATATATATATATATATATATATATATATATGATTCTAAATAAATTTGAATTTCTAACCTATATAATAGTCGTGATCATATGATATCCACTCTTTCAAAGATCATCTTTAGTATATGAAGAAGAAGGAACATTAAATTCACATGAAAAATATAAAATCAAAGTTGTTGTAAGTAATAATCTTGACGTATGAAGAATGAATTATATTTTTAATAAAGCATCAATATATGAATTATTATTTTTTAAATATGTTTTTCAAAAATTAAAAAAATCTTAAATATCTCTCTCAGATCACGAGTTTTAATTCACTTGCATAATTAAATTTGAAAAAATCCTAAAGACGTTTTGTTTGAAAAGCTAGTTAAAATGTATTTGTTCTTAAATGTTCTATGTTTGAATTTAGAGTAATTGGATAAGAATTTAAAAAATTAAAATGCCAAATTATTTGAAAGGATAAAGTAAATGAAGAAAGACAATAAAGTAAAACGCTTAAATTAAAAATGGGACACAAGTTCATACATTTCTCACAAATTATTTATCTCTATAATTCAGATATGTGAATTCTAAAGAAAACATAATAAAAATCACTACAACATTTTTACTCTTTAGCAACGCCTAATTTTCCGGAAGTAAAAAAATTGTTCTCGTAGAGAGTAATAGGCAACGAACTATATAATTTGTTGCTGTAGCATATTTAATTTTTTGTAAATTTATACAACGGCCCGAAACCGTTCTGGTAGAGGACAATGTGAACGACTCCTATTAGCAACGACCCGAAACCGTTCTTATATAATTTTTAATTATTTTAATAAAATATTACTACTAACACCGTTCTCATATGTGTATACCTTTCATTCTCCCTCTCAAACCTGAGTAAAATTTTCAGTTCCCTCCACAAGCTTCTCTCAAACGATTCATTGTCCCTCCCAAATACGAGCTTCATCGAACGATTTTCTCAAACGTACGAGCTTCTCCTTAACCCTAACATTCATCCCAAATTGATTCTTCATCTTCTCCCAAACCGTAACATTTTGTTCTTCCTCCCATATTGATTCTTCATGGTACGATTCTCTCAAACCTTAACATTCATCCCAAATTTGTGTATGTGTAAATGTTCTCCTTCAACTTTCTCTATTTTCTGCCGACAAATCTAACGGGTTTGTTTTCATAGGTCTCAATTTTCAAACGTAATAGTGTGCGAGTTTTCAGTGGTGTGCGCGTTTTCGGTTCATCCTGGTAAAAAGGTAATAATTTGATTATAATTCGTAGCCCTGTGTTATTTTGGTGGGTCATTGAGTTAGAGATAGTTAATTAACTCAAATTATGTAGTGCTTCTCTGCATTTGTTCGGTGCCGGTGCCGCTTCTCTGCATCTGTACTCTCTAGAATAATGTTTGGGAAAGACTTCACTTGACATGCTTCTGTTTCGTGAGTTCACCAACTCTTCAAATTCCAACTCTTCTTTTATTTCTTCATCTCAGAATCACTTTCACGACAACTTTTCTTATTCTTATAACAACATAGGAAATTCTAGTACTGCTAGTTCAACCTCTTGTTCTAGTTCTGGTTCTACTTTTCTCCCAGGTTGTTGTTTGGTGAATTCCTGTTATGCTGTTATACTGTTAGTAAATCTAGTTGCTAATTGTTAGAACTGTTAGAAATTGGAAAAGAGTTAGGAGCTGGTAGATAGTAAATCTAATTGTTAGTTAATGGTCTTTGTATGTAGAACTGTTATGCTATTAGTAAATCTAGTTGCTAATTGTTAGAACTGTTAGAAATTGGAAAAGAGTTAGGAACTGGTAGATAGTATTGAATTGTGATCAACTGGCAGGATGCATGCTTGCTCAGATCATAGAAACTCTTTATTTTATGAGTTAATGGTGTAGTTGTAGCAACATAAAAAAATTGTTATATCTTCTATTGTGTTTTAATAGTTTTTGTGGCTTTTGAAGGTTTATATATGTATCTTGTATAATTTAGCGATGAAAGTTTTGATTTTGTTTGACAACTTGCTAGTTCATATTTTATCAGGTGCAAATCGGGGTTCTCTACCATGAATATTGATAAATTCAAGTAGGACATTGATGAACTTATCGCTCAATTCTCACACGTATTGTCAAAATCAATCTATCATCATTGTTTTTCATTATTGTGTTGGTTCCTTTGTAAATTCAATGAGCTTGTTCCTAGGGTGGACATGGTTTATTTTTTGTTTTTGGTTCACAACCAATATAACTTTAGAGTTGCTTTGGTATTGGTTTTTATACCTTGCATTATATGAAAGTTTCGGTTTGCATATATCCTATACAGAAGAGAGAACCTAGCCAGTTATGTTATAGTCCTACTTGTTTCTTTGTATTTGATTAGTAACAATAAGTTTTTGCTGTTCAATTTTGGTAACAGGATGAGTCAAAAACTTTGGCTGATATGAAGAGAGTATGGATTTCTAAGAGAGTATGGGTGGCCTTTATTGCCTCTATTATCTTTACGAGACTCAACCATTCAAACCTCCTTTTAAGGTCTACATATCCCTTGGTATGCCAATTTTTACTTAAATCATAATCACATTTAGCTGTGACTGTAGTTTCTTATACAATTGTGCTTGTTGGAAGGAATATATTATTTAATTTGCTCGTAACATGAAGGAGAAGATAATTAGTTAACGTGAAATTAATAATAATTAATTTAATATGAATGAAAACTTTGAATGCGTGTGGTTTTATGAGAAGGAGATGATTTTGTGTTTTAATACTCAAATTTGTGTGTTTCTACAGGAGAGTTAAAGAATCTTAGAACCCTTGTTGTTGATGCAAAGGCAAATGATATTAGTGTGGTGTCTGCTTTATTCAAAAGAAATGTTGGAAAGAAACACATTTCTTTTTGGTGCTGTCGACTTAGTGGAAAGTTCTGCCACAAAAATAGTAAATCAACTCCAAAATTTACAGAAGGCTCGTATTCAAGTTGCATACAAAAAGTAAATCACCATATTGAACTTATGTTCAATATCCTTCTTTTCTTGTGTCTTATCCTGGCAGTGTTTTAACCTAACAGTTTATTTGTTTGAATGTGTTCCTTGTTTATGACAGGTTGTTTAATAGCACACAAATTGAAACATATGTGCGCATGGACCTTGTAAGTTTCCCTTGTGTTTTTTACTTACACAATGATTTAATTGGTAATCTTTTTAATACAAGGTATTATTATCCAGTCAGATTAACATTAGAAGACGACAACAACTTATTTTCACTTTTCTTGTATATGGAAGTGCAAATTTTCTTGATTTTAGATTGATACGAGTTATGTTAAGTAAATTTGCATTAATTAGGTTAATTCTGCGGTTTGATTTTTTTTTCTTTTCTGTTTGTTATGTGTGAAGATGGATGAAGTGATGTCGTCAGTTACAGTGACGATAAAAAACTTTGTTGTGATGTATCTTGTAGATATCACAGAGGTACCTGATTTTAACACTATGTATGAGTTGTATGACCCTTCCAAAGTTATGTTCTTCTTTAGAAACAAGCATACATTGATAGATATTGGCACTGGAAACAACAATAAGATCAATTGGGCTATAAAGGACAAACAGGAGTTCATTGATATCATTGAGACGGTTTATAGAGGTGCGAGGAAAGGACGCGGTATTGTGATTGCTCCCAAAGATTACTCTACCAAGTATCGTTACTAAGTATATCAATCTCTCTACTTGGATATATGTATTTTCAAGAAGTCAACTTTGTTTTTGTTCAGGTACAAAACCTACTTTATTTGGTTCACCCTTTGTTATGCGTGTAACTGACGTTAAACTGTTTACGCATCTATTTGTATTTGATCTTAAACTGTAAGTGATATGCTCTGTATATGCCCAACATAGATGTGGGTTATCTTAACCAGGATTTTATAATGATGATTGATAAAAAGGAATGGTAGGATCTGTTAGGACGAGTTTACTCAATTAATGATGATAAATCAATATGACCAAGCTGGCGAAGCAGTCAAGTACATGGTCGAGTAAGTGAACTAAAATAGTAACAATGTGACAGTAAATGAGCCGAGATAATAAAATATTTATGATAGTCCACAACACTAGAGCATAAAATCTGCAAGTGTTTGAACTATGTTTGGTTGGAATCTTTGTAGCCAACGCCGGCGTATGGGGCGATCTATAACCCAGTAATCATAGAGCCTGAAATGGTGATATCTATAACCCAGGAATCATAGAGCCTGAAATGGTGATATGCTTTATAATGTTGATATCTATGCTTGTTTGTGTAAATTGTGAGTGAATCTTTACTAATAATTATACTCATTTGCATAGAATTGTTTAAATTGATATCTCATGAGAAATGCAATTTTGGAAAATTTAACTCACACACACCATAAAGTCTAAACAGTGATATTTTAGACTCAAGAATGGGAATTTGAAACTTTTTTCCATTAGAATGTGTGTGCAGAGGTATGCTAACTGAACATAAAAGTTTGGTATGTTAGAACTGTTAGAAATTGGAATTGTTAGTAAATCTAGTTGCTAATTGTTAGAACCATTAGAAATTGGAAAAGAGTTATGCTAACATATTAATAAGTTAGTAATATTGAACTGGTGGAATTAGTAATATTAGCTAACATAGTTAGTAATAAGTTAGTAATATTAATAAGTTAGTAATATTGATAAGAGTTATGCTAACTGTTAGTAATATTGAACTGGTGGAATTAGCTAAGATATTAATAAGTTATGCTAATTAATATTGAACTGGTAGATAGTATTGAACTGTTACTATTGAACTATTACTGGTACTGGTAGTTAGCCCATCACAGTAAATGGTAATTAATAAGTTATGCTAATAATTACTATTTAGTAAGTATTTAACTGTATTGAACTGTTATCGGTAGTTAGTTAACATATAAATTAATAGAGGTGAGTGAAACAATTAATAGTTAGTGAATGAAACAATTAAGTATTGTTATGAATGAAACATATTAATAAGTACTGTTATGTATGTTAGAAATTGGAAAAGAGTTAGAAAAATATAAATGAAATTGGATGGTTGGTTTGTATATATATTGCAAATGTGTATGTATGGATTCTAAGTGTTGGATATGTGTGTATGTAGAAAGTCAGTCATCAAAATGCCGAAAATGCCGAAATGCCGAAAAGTTGAATATAGAGGCTTCATGTTCTTCTTAAGACTGTTTTGAATCAAAATACTTCCGAGTTGAATATAGAGGCTTTGGCAGCTTTGATATCAACTCATGCAACTAATACTAACAGTGTCTTACACTCTTCTACATCAACACATGCTCCAACTAATGATCAAGTAAGATTTGTTACATTCCTATGTTTTAAGGGATTTTATATATGTGGATTATTTACTTGGAGTGGATTATTTTATTTTTGATCCTTCAAAAATAATCTTATTTAAGTTATATTATTTTTATTTTGCAGGTCATGAATGATAATATCAATGAAGATTTTGAATTTGAAGATGAAGAAATGTAGATGTAGATGTTTAAGTTTAATTTTATAGATTAAAGATGTTATTTTGACTATGAATGATGATTGACATTAGGATCGATATGTAATTTGAAGATGTTTTGTTGTTGGATCATTTTCAATTTGAAGATGTTTTGTATTTGAATACTATTATATAAAAAAATTGTGAATGATGTTATTACCAGGTTTATAAAATAAAATAAAAATTTATTTTATTAAAAAATAAATAAATTTATTTGGTTTATATAAAATAAAATAATTTTTTTTGCAACAGTTACAAAGTGTGTCTGTAGTAAAGAAGGCGTTGCTATAACCTATGAAGAAAAATTGAACTTAAGCCTCTATTAGAACGGTTTAGAATAGGTTACGGCTAAGAATCGTTGCTATATTCCATAAAATAGTCGTTCTCTAATAAACAACAATTGCAACGGTTTACATTTGAAAACGGCCTCCAGCCATTGCTGTTCTAGGCCGTTCTCTATATAAAATTACAGCAACGGCTCTGAACAAGGCGTTGCCGTTGGCTAAATAATCGTTCCTAAAGGCTAAAATAACGCCTTGGTTTAGAACGCACTGAGAACCGTTCTCATATGTAAAGGCAACAGTTTTTTTGAATTTTGCAACGGTTGTTTTGTGTTGCTGTATATTTAAAATGTTGTAGTGAATGTGAACCCTTTATTACAAAGGTGAAATTTACTTATATACTAGTTACATCAATAATTGTAGATTAAGTTATCTCTTTAGCATTTGAAACATATCCTGCTATGTGGACTTTAGTCTTATGATGTATTTTCACGTGTCTTTGGTCCTCAAACTGTTACTACTGTCGAAACCGTGGTACAAAGGCTTATCCTTGTCACTACATAAAGTATGATACGCATGTGCCCTCTTAGACGAATCTTGTCCAATATGACGCATCATGTCTTCCAGACGATCATCCAAATTCATACAAATCATTGCAAATAAAACAAATTAAAAAGGGACTTTACTCTATGATTTTTTGCACATAAATTGTCAAACCTTTTGAATGATGAATTTGTTGGTGCAAAAATAGAATAAATGATGAAATAGGGAAATATTCTATTAAAGAGAATGACAGCAGAAGAAACAGGATTAAGAGTTACAATGATTGTCACCCTATTTATAAGCTAAAACTAGGGTTACTAGAATAAGATAAAATACTAAAATACCCTCTAACAAACTTATGGGCTTAAGAAAGTAATATAATAAAATATGAATTATTACTAATACCATCCCTTAATTCATATTCCATCAAAACTTGTAACACCAATTCCATCCCTTAATCTGAGAAATTGATCATTCTTGATAGCTTTCGTCAGAACATCTGCCAACTGCTTCTGAGTGCTGCAGTGTACAACTTCTAACACTCCACTCTGAACTTGATGTCTCAGAAAATGATACTTGGTCTCAATATGCTTGCTTCTCCCATGCAACACTGGGTTTCTGGCAAGATTGATTGCAGACTTATTGTCAATCATCAACTTTAGAGGTTTGTCTACTTTAATCTTCAGATCCTGCAACAGATTCAGAATCCACACAGCTTGGCATGCAGTAACAGCACCTGCAATGTATTCAGCTTCACAGGTTGACAACGCCACAACAGGTTGCTTCTTGGAACACCAAGAAATGGAACCTCCCAGAAATTTGAACAAGTACCCAGATGTACTTCTTCTGTCAACTCTGTCTCCACACCAATCAGAGTCTGAATAACTCAGAAGTTCTGACTCATTATTTCCTCCAGAGGGAAATAACACTCCATACTTCAGAGTTCCTTTGATATACCTCAGAATCCTGACAGCAGCTTGGTAATGGGACCAATTAGGTTTACTCATGAACCTACTAACCATCCCAACTGAGTAGCAAATATCAGGTCTGGTATTGCATAGATACCTCAGAGAACCAACCAACTGTTTGAAGGTTGTAGCATCCACATCCTTTCCTTCAGAGTCTGAATCCAGTTTCTGATTTGTATCAGAAGGTGTGACAGCCATCTTACAATTCTTCAGATCAAATCTCTTCAGAAGTTCTAATTCATACTTGAGCTGATGCAAAATGATACCTTTCTCAGAATATCTGAACTCCATCCCTAGAAAGTATGTCATTTTGCCTAGATCAGTCATTTCAAATTCATTCATTAGAACCTTCTTGAACTTGGCTATCTCCTGTTCAGAACTTCCAGTCAATAGTATATCATCAACATATAAACATACCAGAGTCATATTGCCTTCAGAAGTATGCTGAACATAGACACCGTACTCCATCTCACATTTCTGAAAGCCTTGCTTCTTGAAAAATGAATCAATCTTCTGATTCCAAGCTCTGGGCGCTTGTTTCAGTCCATATAGAGCTTTGTATAATCTGTACACCATCCCTTCCTGATTCTTTTTCACAAATCCAGGAGGTTGTGACACGTAAACTTCTTCTTCTAATGGACCATTCAGAAATGCAGATTTTACATCTAAATGCATCAGAGGCCAATTCCTGTTAGCAGCTATTGCAATCACCATTCTGATTGTTTCATGTCTTGCTACAGGTGCAAACACTTCAGAGTAATTCAGCCCAAGTTTCTGTAGAAATCCTCTGGCTACCAACCTTGCTTTATGTTTGCCAATTGAACCATCTGGCTTTAACTTCTGCTTGAAAACCCATCTAACGCTGATGGCTTTCTTGTCTTTTGGAAGTTCTGTCAGCTTCCAAGTCTTGTTTCTCTCTATAGCATCAAGTTCTTCTTTCATGGCCTTCAGCCAGAGCTTCTGCTTAAGAGCCTCCTCTGTACTTATAGGTTCAGAGTCTACTAACATGGCACACTGAATAACTTCTCCTTCAGAGTCTACTTCAGTGTCTTGCAGCATGTCAAATTCTGCAAATCTTCTGGGAACGCTTCTGATTCTTTGTGGTCTCTGAACTTGTTCAGAGTCTTGAGCTTCAGAGTTTCCAGCTTCAGATGATTGACCTCCAGAGCTTTGACCATCTTCAGAGTCTGGCATATTTCCAGAGTCTGAATTGCCACCAAGATCTGGATTGCCATCAGAGTCTGAATCATCAGAGTCTGGGTCATCTGGGTCACCTTCATCTTCTGAGTCTTCTTCAGAGTTTGAATCAGTATCAGAGTTAGAGTCAACGTCAGGGTTTACTCCAACTTCAGAAATTCTTAACTCTGGCCTTTCTTCAGAGGT